ACAGACAGACAGACAGACAGACAGACAGACAGACAGACAGACAGACAGACAGACACGTTGGAGGGGGGTGGGGGTGCGATATGTGCAAATAATTATAAATGATTAAAGCGGACGTTGACAATTATTATTACAGAGTTGGGTTGGGGTGTAAATAAAGGAGGGTGGGAGGGGGGTGGTTAATGTGAGGTGGGAGGTCGACACATTGCTGGGTTGTTATTATTTGGGAGGAAGGGGGGGGGGGGATGAAGTACAAACGACAAACTTAAAACAGGTGACATAATAATACGTCAAACAATCGACCAATAATACGGGCCACCGATAGTAAACAGAATATCACGTGACTGGTATCATGTGACAGAGCATGTGACTGTTACTAAATTTTCATGGCTTCTGACAACAAATGCAAGCGTCCTTGTTCCTGCCTGTGAGAAAGAATAAAGACCCCGATAGACAATATTATCTTTTTGTTCGAACCCTGGTACTGGAAGCAGACGAAAGGCTGTTGTTTTATTCGGGTTGGACACGGTAAAAATCTATGATTGTGTAAAGAATTAAATAGCTTTTCATATCCGGCTACTAACTTGTTCAAGAACTCTCATGATCATTAGGCTAGCTTTCAAGGAAGACAAGTAGTGTTAGTAACTGTTGCAGCTTGTTTTCTGATTGCTTTGACTTTACTGTTGGTCCACTCTGGTTTGGAAGGATGAAATTCTAGAGGGGCATAGTTTGTTATATATTACATCTTTAGGTGTGTATAAAAGAATTTGCAAAATCCGATAAAGAAGGCATGTCGTGGATGATAATAATGATTGATTCAAGTATCAGGACTTCTGATAGTGATACAACTGTTATCATCACTTAGTACTTCTAAGTGTACTTCTAAAGTAGTTTTGACTTTGATATTTGGGAATTTTATCTGTTTCTATTACATCTTTCTGCTTTCTTGAAGGAAGCATGAATGTCAAGTGTATGGTTGGGGAATGCAGGAGAGGAAAAGTTAAAAGACCCCCTCGGGTTTTTATTGTTATAGAACAAGTTATAAGTAGGTCAGTTTATCCAAAACTAGTCTAGTTAATAAAAGGTGTCTTCACAGTTTCCAATCAGTCTCTTGCTGTGTTTGACTGTTGCTGAGCCAGAAAGATCCCTGATTTTTGTGCCCAATTGTAAAATTTGATGCTTCTGTATTTTATAATGTTCAGTGTTTCGACTGGCTACTTTAACTTGTGATCGTGATGTTTGTGGTTAGATTCTCTGCTTTATGAGATGTCAGTTTTATCCACGTTTAGGTTTAGGAATATTTTCAACATTTTGCTGAGTCCAGGAATTGAACGGAGTGTCTACGTACACGGTAACCGGGCACCTAGCCTCAGTGTCTACGTTCACGGTAACCAGCAACCGGGCATGTAGCTTAGTCTCAGTCAATGTCATGTACACGGTAACCGGGCATGTAGCCTCCTACGTACACGGTAACTGGCAACTGGGCATGTAGTCTGTGTCACGTACATGGTAACCGGGCAGTTCAGTTTTGTCATCCGGTGTTGCCTTCAACCCCACCTCACCCCCGACTGTACCTTTTAAAAAATCAATAATTCCCCCCCATTCTGGAGCCCTATAGATCTACTTCGCAGCGCACAGACTTTGAATGAACTTTGGTGACCCTAACTGGTACTCATTATGTGACGCGAAAATACAGGTTCACTGACCGGTCATGGTGGCGAACCCGACAAGATGCTTTTATATATATGACTTTCTTTTTTGGAGCAGGTGACAGCACAGGATAAATATTGATTTATTTTCATTCCGGTTACCGTGTACGTAGACTGTCTTAGATACTGAGACTCGGTGCCCTGTTACCGTGTATGTAGATACTGAGACTACGTGCCCGGTTACCGTGTACGTAGACACTCCGATAACTGAAAGGCATGTTTTAAGCTGACAGCCTCCTGAATGGTTTATATAGTCGAACCTGCCTTAAAACAGAAACCTGTATAAAACGGAAACCTGTCTTAACGGAATCTCCCCACTCCCCCCTTGATACATTCCTCTTTAATTACCTGTATAAAACGGAAACCTGTCCTATGCGGAAACGGAAAGAAACATCCGCTCCGTTCCGAGAGTTTCACCTGTCTAAGACGGAAAATGCTTTGCCTGCTCTACCCTGATTTGAAACAAAACTCGCAAGTTTGGTTCCGCCGGCCATGCCGCAAGGTGAGGAAGGGGAGTAGGGGTAGATGTTACCCCGTCATGTGAGCCCTGAGCGATGCAGATGGTCAGGGTAGTGTGGGTGTGAAATCTCACGACTGCCCGTGAGAGTGCTCGAGTAGCGAGCCACTACGTAAACTTTCCTGGGTAGCCAGAAGCCAGAGGTGTGAAATTAGTTTGACCAGTGCCTGCCGCCCAGATTGTACGCCAGCCGAGAAAAGAGTTCCTCGAATCATTGTTACATGATGGCAGTGAGGGGTGGCATTGGTTGACTGAGCTTGTTAAATCGGTGGGTGGGGCTGAGGGTGGAAGCACAGGAGATGTTCAAACGTTTCTGTTTTTAATAGGTC